TATGGAAAGTCTTGCATGAAGAATGGGTAGGAAACTAATTAAATATATCATGGTTTCCAAAACAATCAAGGTGCCCAGACACCTAGGTGTCCCATCTATTTTACCTATATATGTATGTATGTATATATATAATCGAGATATGTTTTCTGTACATAAGGCACATTTAAGTTAATCTAATTATTTTGGAAGAAAAATAAAAAGGAAAAAGAGAAAATAAATAAAAATATGAAAAAATATTAGAAATCTATGCCTACGGCTATGCCGTCGGCATAGCTACAGCCACGGAAGGGTAGAGCCATGGATTGATGACGTGGCGTATGGCGCGGATCGATGACGTGGCACCGTCCACGGGCCAAGCTTATGCCGACGGCGAGGCTGTCGGCGTAGATATGCCACCCCCGGACCGGTGAGCATTTCGGATCGTTGACGTGGCGAATCACGCGGATCGATGACGGTGGCATAGCTATGCCGACGGCCACCGTTAGGCCCCATCGGCATAGGCTTCACGCCGTCAAAGGATGTCGCCGCCCGGGTGGTCGGGCCCACAGATATGCCGAAGACAGCCTCTATGCCGACGGCCGCCGTAGGCACATTGATTGGGATGCCGACGGCCGATCTGTGCCGACGGCCCCCGTCGGCATAGGTGGATGTATGCCGACGTCTTTTCTACGCCGACGGCCTGACCTGGGCCGTCGGGATACATCCATCGATGCCGACGGGGCCGTCGGCAATTGGGTAAATTCTGGTAGTGGCAGAGGAAGACCCGTTTATTAGCAACTCAATGACAAGGCACACGTCTTTGCTTCTCTTTTTAATGCATTCCACCGCAATAGCCTGCTTCGGCCGAGATCAGATGAGGATGCGTTGCAAGTGCCAACCGCATAATTTTACAGTCACCATTTTGACAGAAATCTAAGTAAAGCTGATTGTTGTACTGGTGATGTTTGGTTTGCCTGCTCTCCAGCATTTTTCCTTGCATTCCTGTATTTGTAACAGCTTTATTTCAGACTCGGTGTTTATTCCAGACTCGTAGACTATAACTTCAGAGTTCAGTTTCCACTACGGTCTGAAGTTAATCTTCCATTTGTCATGTTAGACTTGGTTTGACCAAATAAATCGTGAGCTGGAACTTGAATTTACCACTGAATCACACCATGTGCCCTTGCTATCATTTTACTCTGTAGAAATATTGGCCCTGAACTGATGCATTGATTTCTGGAGGCTGGAGGCAAGAATGATTCGGTGTACTCCCTTCATCGACTGCCGTTCTATTCCTTCGGCCGAGATGCAAGAGAGATCAGATGAGGATGTTGCCAACCTTGTAATTTACAGTCACCGTTTAAGTAAAGCTGAAGCTGAAAGTCCTGAAGCCCAGCTCAACATCAAACTCAGGTAATCATTCTGTCGTTGTCGCACTCTGGGTTACTAATTCCTGGCGTTGTCTAGTTACTTTTGCCTACTCCTGAAATCAACATTTATGGTCAGGAATTCAGATTCATCACCTCACACATCAAGCTCGATGAGGTGCATGCTGGTTTACTTATAGTTTCTTCCTGTAAATCATGTGTGCGTACTACTTCTGTGCTGGCAGGCCGGTGTGTGCATCTCAGTTCTTAACTGCAAACTGTTGGTTATGCACGACAGATTTACAGTGCTAATTGGGTCCATGAGCCCATGACGCCAGATAACTAGTACACGCTTCACCTCTCTTTATGAATAAACATATATTAGATTCATCTTGATTTATTTGCCAATTAAACGGTGCAAAAACTTCATAGTACATAGGTCAGTCTAGGAAGAAATCACAGTTGTTTGTGGTTGTGGACTTCGTAGTACATAGTACGCGTTGCTGTACGTATCTACTTCTAGTTTTGAAATATATTTTCTGAAATTACCCTATTTCATGTACATCCCTCCAACCAAACAGAGAGATGAGCTAAGAAAAGAGATCAATCATCTCTCTTGAAATTGAAATTAGTTTAGTTTGAAATATATTTTCTGAAATTGCATTTAGCAGCTTTGGCCGCATGCAGAAAACATGCATGCTCTTTTGAGGTGTACGTAATTATTTTGTTTGTAGGTTGCGTCCAGTACGGGCTGGACGCTCTGATCCGTTTAATCGAGCTGCAGTCTTGCCGACAGCAACGCATGATGCCACAGTTGCATTGAGCAGGGATCTCTACTTTACATATGATGACTTTACCACAGTGAAAGGCTTGGACACTGGACACTGGTGGCGTGCTCAACTTTCTTTAATCCCCATCGCATCAGTCCAGCAGCGGCCAGCCTGTGGTGAACTGCAGCCTGACCTGACGTGATTAGAAGCCCGGTCGGTTGGTGGCGAAATAAAAAGCCAGCTCTTCCTTACACAGACCAGCGATCATTAATCTGAACCCAGCTCGTCTTCTCCACAACAACGAGCAAACACACTGCGAGGAGAGGCCGTCGTAGTAGCAGCAGCAGCACGGAGACATCATCTTTCTTCCACCACCACACAACTGCAATCTCGCAAGTAGAGAGAGATCCAGCTATGGAGATCGCTATGGGGGCTATCGGCCCTCTCCTCCCCAAGCTCCGCGAGCTGCTTCATAGTGAGCTCACCATGGAGAAACAAGTAAGGAAAGGTATCGAGTCTCTCGTAACAGAGCTGAAATTAATGCATGCTGTCCTTAGCAAGGTGTCGAAAGTGCCGGCGGACCAGCTTGACGAGGGGGTCAAGATCTGGGCAGGAAATGTCAAGGAGTTGTCCTACCAAATGGAGGACATCGTTGATGCTTTCATGGTGCGTGTGGGGGATGGCGGCGAGTCCACCAACCCGAAGAACAGAGTCAAGAAGATACTCAAGAAGGTCAAAAGATTATTCAAGAACGGCAAGGATCTTCATCGGATCTCTGATGCTCTGGAAGAAGTGGTTCTTCAAGCGAAGCAGTTGGCCAAGCTGCATCAGAGGTACGAGCAAGAGATGCGGGACACTAGTGCTAATACTAGTGTTGACCCTCGCATGATGGCCTTGTACACAGATGTTACAGAGCTCGTCGGTATTGAAGAAACATGAGACAAGTTGATCAATATGTTGACTGAAGGTGATGATTGGTCGAAGCATCCGTTGAAGACGATATCTATTGTTGGGTTTGGTGGGTTAGGCAAGACGACTCTTGCCAAAGCAGCATACGACAAGATCAAAGTGCAATTTGATTGTGGTGCTTTTGTCTCGGTTTCGCAAAACCCTGAAATGAAAAAGGTTTTGAAGGATATTCTCTATGGACTTGACAAGGTCAAGTACGAAAACATACATTGCAGCGAGGGACGAAAAGTATCTCATAGACGATATAATTGAATTCCTTAATGACAAGAGGTATGTATGTATGCTTTTTTCCTCTTATACACACCAATTTCCATTTCATCTAGTAAAATAGTGACATCGTTTAATACTAGTGCATATGCATCTTGATAGCATATTGTTAATTTATACTTTTGATGTAAATTTCTATAGTTATTGTATAAATCATATAATGTAATAATTAGTGAGTGCACATTTTTAAGGTAATTGAAAATATATATTCTAGGTC